CATGAAGACTCTATTAATGTGTGTATGTGTGTGTGTGTGTGTGTGTGTGTGTGTGTGTGTGTGTGTGTAAATTATGTATCTATATATCATTACTATTCTAATCAAACTGACAATTAATCATGTACACTACTTGTTTATAATGACGTCTACAATTGTTTGACATACAAATTTGATTATTGACTTGTTCCGAACACATTTGATGTGTAACTTGTAAAACTTGGAAAAATGTCTTGATCGCATATAGTACGCAGACATTCGTTATGTACAAACAGCTACATTAATGACGTCTAATGAAGATATTCATAATAGAAAATAAGATAATTCGTGGCATTACTTTTATTATTTGATAATTTTTTATCGATCGAAAAACTTAATATTAAATTTAATCTTAAATTTCTTAATTTTTATTTTTCGAATTTGTGATTTTAAAGGTAATTTTAATATGTTATTAAAATTTGTAGTTACTTCAAAATTGCAAATTACACACTTAATGAAACAATGCTTTATATTTTTTAGAAACGTTTAGAAATGTTTAAAAAAAAAGATTTTTCTATTAATATAAGATAAAAAGGATATAATGTATATTTAAGGATATCTCCAATAGATTTCATTATTGTATTGTATCAAACATCACGCGTGTAAAGTTAGCAAAACACAACAAATTACTGAATTATTCTTAAGAATAATGCGTTTGATTGGCATATTTTAATAAATGGTTTTATTCTAAATCCCGCAGGTATTATTAACGAATAATGTTAACTATTGATTGTGCATTTTAAATAGTGCTCAACAAATGCACAACAGAAAGCGATAGAATAATAAAATGCACTACCCATGAAAATTGCAAAGAGAACGTAAAATGGAGAGAAGTTTTTTACATTCTTGTAAATTTGAAATGCGTTCTTAAAAATACCTCTCTAAACTCCTCTAAACTCCATTAACACCCATAAGCGATTGATACGACTTACACATTAAATAACTATATATAAAATTGTATTAATTAGGGCACGCATTATTTAGTAATACCACCCATTCTAGTACCTTTGATTGAATCTAATCGTATAACTAATCGCAAGATACATCACTTATATCATAATATATGTAAGATATAAAACTATTAGCTTGCCATCGCAGTGATCTGCTCATTTTTGCTCGTATCCTCCTCACGATAAATCACAATTTTATTCTATTCTATTATATCGTTACGACTAAATCTGCATGATTCTGTAGGCAATTATTGTTCAATTAACCATTACTGTTGTGAAGTTACTAAGTCGGTCGCGACTGTCTCTTAGAAATGGAAATTACGACAGTTGTAATATATTTTGAGTGAACACTTCTCGGTATTTCATAGAAAAACATGCCACTCAATTAAATTTTTAAAATTCATTAACTCTTTAAAAAGCTTTAAAATAGGATATAAAAATAACATTGTGTTTATATAATAATACAAGTGATATAGTGTGTATTTCAAAATACTATCTTTTCGGCAATGAACAATTTATCGATATTAAGTTAATTAAGAGGAGAGATAAAAATTCTTTGCGTAATTAAATCATACTTGTAATTTAGTTTGTTCTTAATTTTAAAAAGTTTTGATTGTAAATTTTTAACCGCAATTAAACGTTAATAAGTTAATAAGCTGAGAACGATTTCATATTATTTATAAATTGTCATTTTACAAGTAATGCAAATAGAGACAGACGGAATGCAAATAACATTTTTAATATTTGTTTGTATATGTAATTTTTTGAAATTGCATATGTAAATTACGATGGTTTTTACGCGCTAATTATACATGCAATTCTCAATAACTTAGCTGTCCGATATAATTTTGCTATCGTACAAGAAGGTACATAATGAGTGGATCACACTATTATATTTAGTAAAAAGCTTGGAAAAAAAGAATTCAATCGTCAAGTAATCAGATATATTCAATTTGCGTGAATGTCGGTCGTCCCTGCGTTTCAATTCTCTTTACGCGCATTGAACAATCCCAGCGTGAAACGTGATACGTCGGCTAGATTAGCGAGATAGAGATTGCAATATGAGTCAAGTGAAATGATAGTGACCGTGTCTCATTGCGATCGCATCGCGATCTCCTTCCTCGGCCCGTTCCCGTTTAATCGCTTTTCCCTTTTCCGTTCGGTATCTTGTCATTGCTCACTTTCTCCGCGACACCATTCGCTTTGGCCGAGCTCGCGACCGACGGCGTCGCGCCGTTTTCCTTCTTCACGGTATAAGCATTGTTGTAGAAGTCCGAGAACAGGAAGTAGAAGAACATCGCGTTCGGCAGAACCAGGATGACCGACCATTTCGGATAGTTGCAGTCGTAGAACAACAACAGGCAGTTGTGCAGGAAGGCCAGACAGAATTGGGTCTGTCGAGATCGAAACAAACGCCACAGACACAAATGATTAATCGATTGTGGGTAGAGCAAATTATTGAGATAGATAATCGGTGAAAAATTGGTAAAAAAAAAAAAAAAGAAAAAGAATCGTCAATCCTGCAATTTAAGCATTGCTTTATTTGCCACGTACCATTTGTAGGGTAGTAATGTACTTCTTCCACCACAGATACCGCTGATGCTGACGGTGAGGTAGCAACGCCGCCAGAAGGTAATAAGTGTACATGATGATGTGCACGAAGCTATTAATAATTCCTGGAAATAAAAACGCACATCGAGCCAACATGTCGCGATTCGATCGCGGTAACGACGGAAATGTACAAACGACGCTATAAAAAAAAAAAAAAAAAAAAAAAAGAAATTGATTTCATTATATCATTATCCGTTCTGACATACCTACGAAGATACCGTGACCTCCGGGATAATACTTCGTAGCGCCCCATGATATCATTGGCATCACGGTATGATGGTACATATGAAGAAACGTAATTTGCTTCTCCTTCTTACGTAATACGAAGAACACCGTGTCAAGGAGCTCTGTGAGTTTCGCCAGAAAATAAACGTAAACGCCTCTTGCGACCTATAATGAGTAGCACATGAAGATATAATAGGCATTCCATCTCTCTCTATTTATCACGCTAGAAAAATTTAATTACGATATTTGTATTCGCACTCGAACGAATGAGAGTGTTTTATATTTAAACGGGGAAGGTGACGAGACAAGTAGCGTGTAATAATCAACTTATGAATGAAGTGGATTATAGTTGATTAATGATTTAGTAAAAAAAAAGCTGGTGATACACGTTTAGAATATTTACGTACTCTAAGAGCTATCGGTTTGTGTGAAAAGTCCACTGGCGCGCATGTCCAACTGTAATTATGAAACAATGTATATTCCATGCCCTCCATAAATAGCCATGTGCTAAGAAGGATCTGCAAGAAATTATAAACGACTAGAATACGCTTTAGTTGGAATGGTTTTCGGTGTTCCATATTTTTCGGACCCCATGACAATACGAAATAGAGATAGCCGAACAAGAGACTAAGGCCGGGTACAGGCGACGATATGAGAAACCAGTTGTTGGTTCGAGGATCTGAAAAAAAAATATATGCACGATAAAGCAACTGTGAAATCAAATGTCTCTGATTTATATTTTAAATATAATTTTATTAATATATCTTTTCTATTTGTTATACCTATACTTATCTTTAGCTGTAATTAATTGAAAAAATTAACATAAATTCGATATCAATTTTCAAACCATCGGGCATACAAAAATAAAAATCAGTCTATTTGTAAAGATTATTTTTTTATTACAATTTTTTATTATAAATTCTTTTTTCTTGATATTACCGAATAATTGATACGATTAGAAAACATTTAATTTTTAAAAGAGACTTTTTATTTGACATAGAGTTTATCGTTATTTTGAATCACATATGTCTGTCATTAATTGTATCAATATATTTTAATAATATAAAGTTAATAAGTGAAAGTTATATTACTCTCGGAAGTTGAAGAATGACAAAATAAGAGAAATCTTTAAGGTATTAATAATTACGTAATGTCAATTTTCGATCCAATTTTCGACATTTCATTCGAGGACGAGGAAGTGTATAAAATTGAAAAGATATGTATCGTTTCGTATCATTTTGTTAGCCATTTTAATCAGAACCGTTTTCGAATGTAATCTTATATAACGGAAGCTTACCTGATAAATCACTGAACAGAAAATGCCAGTATCGCACTATGGAGTTGTTGTAGATGTTAGACATCCTGTCGATTGTTGGCGCGGTGACGTTCATTGAGAAGTTTCAACTGGAAACACCATTTTACGAATTCCTTTATTTTCGTGAATTAATAAAATTTTCTAGTTATAGAACTTGATAAACTTATTTAATTATATTCTTGCGCGTTCTCGCGCTCGAAACTTTGTAACTTTGTAAAGAAAGTATATTAATATGATTTATACGGCAATAATGTACGTTTAAAGAGTCCCATACACAACACATTTCGTTATCCGAGATAAACGCAAATAAACATGAGTAGAATGCATGTAACGTCGAGGATAGCTTAATGTCGCGTCATAGATACAAATTGACAAGTTTGATCATAAACCTTGCATATCTGTGGCGACTTTATTCGCAAATAAAACGTCGGAAACTTGCGATTCGTCATAAAAAGAAATTCTTGCTTTTATATCGCCATTAAACTCGCGCGAGGCCCTAATTGGGTAGCGTGGCATTCCATTACGCAAAATGCGCGATTTACCGATTGCTGAAATCTGCATCCTTTCGACAAATCCGCGTATGAAACCGGTTCGCGCACGTCAGGAATGATCTGATGTGATCACAACGGTGAAAAAAGACGTCAGGGAATAAGCGAGACAGGGAACTCGCTTATTTTTATTTTTACGGCTACCTAATGATAGCTCGCATTGCCACTTGCTCAATGGCAATGTTACATCGGTGAAAAAAAAGACGTGTATGTAATCACGTATATTTAACATAATAGACACCGATCGTACTGCACTTTTTTTCATAGTATTAAGAACGATTGGCGGATTGATTTGATTATTAATGAATCAGTTCGTGTCAATCTTTTGCCATTTCCTTTATAAAGAAACTGTCCCTCTTGAACTTTATAAAGAGAGGCACAGAAAGTAATTTCAAAATACATTTTTACATTATCTGTCAATTAATCGATGATATGTCAACTAAAATGTTTTATGTCAACTTTTTTAAGAAAAAGAAGTTCCTTAAAAAATATACAATTTAATTCGCTTACTCTTTTATTATTATAGTTAGAAGTATATCATTTATACTTCATTTGTATCTTGTTCTAGCCATATCCATATCATCACAAATAAGTTCCCAATCGTTCATTATAGAAATTGTGTGAATGTCATGCCATCCTATACTATCGAAGTAGTTCACCGTGATATTTCCACGTTTACAAAATGTTTATTTAATAAACTGCTGTTTCCTCACGATTAAATCGGATTTCCGTTGGTACTGACACACTTTCGTCCGGCATGCATTCGGTTCCTTCTGATTATTAGTACCATTATCCGCTTTGGATAACAGCGAACCGCAAGCACTGCGAACACATACGACTTTCCATAGCGCAGCGGAACCAAGTGGAAACGCTGCCGGTGCGAACGGCGGACGACCGACTGCACGCCAGACTTTTCACTGGAGAATGAGAGCGAAGGCTGAAAAAAAAAAGAAAAGAAACGACCGCTACGATTACGGTAGAGGTTCAACGACTAACTGGCAACACCTTGATTAAACATCCAATGTGCACGGACAATCTCCCCCTCCGTTAGAGAATATTATACCCTAGATGTCTGTTAAGTTTCAGGCAACGGGGAAAGATCGCTTCGAATTTTCTTTTCCTTAAACTTCTATTCTTTTTCTTAAACATAGATAGAACAAAACGGAAAATCAGCATTAGTGTGCGTACAATCATATATTAATATTTATATAAAATATGTTAATAGTAATAAAAGTCTAGACGTTCCAACTTCTTTTTGAGTCATTATCAATAAATAATCTTTTTGGACTCAGTCCAGTCATTTGGAAAATATGTAAAGTATCTAAGAAATCGAAGAAACAACTATAAATGGACAAATAAAAAATGCATAAATCGTTTTATTAATTGTATAGTGCAAAAACAGTTATCTCATTTAAATTTTTTGCTGATTTATAAAATGTCTTTTTAAATGAACTTATTTCAAAATTTTGAAATTCTTTTAAATTAAAAATTTTTAATTTTAAATTCTTTTATCAGAATTTCTCTTCTACATTAAAAAGAAAGTTATTAAATATCACTATTATAATAAATATGCCACAATATAAGATAACTATAACTAAAATAATTGTGATTGTGATTAAAAATATATAAAAACAAAGATTTAATTAAATACTCAGATAACAATTTTTTTCTAATATTTTTAATATATGAAAGTTTGAATTTCTTTGAAGCAGAACTTTGGTATAATATATATATTTTTGCAACGTCTTTTCTTTTGATTGTAAAAAACATGAAATTGAATTACGAATATATTTCATCACATTTCAGCCTCTCAATCCACTCTCGTCGCATTCTCGATCTTAAGTATCGAGTTAAAACATACCTTCTTCATAATTGTATTTGCGTGTGCACGGTCTTTCACAATAGTATCTTCTTATTGTGTATTAACGCGCAGTTTTCATATAATCTTATAAACTACACGGCATCTTCTCGTGCGCTTTGAGCGTGGTAAGTTAACTATCGTAACGGACGTCCGAAGCATCTCTTTGCGTGTCATTCATCATGAAAATTTGTAATCGCAAGAAATAAACTTCAGAACGTAATTTATGATATAAATGGATTTTTAATCTAGATTAATCCAATTAAAATGTATCACTGTAGAGAAAAAGTAGATGCTAGATATATTATTGATTAACGCTTTCTATCCGCGATTTTAATGTGACTATCGCTCGCTCTTGTTGTTTAAAAGAAGAGAAGTCGAGAAGAAAGTCGAGAAGTACATTCAAAAACCATGGAATCGCAAAATTTCGCCTCGTTTCGGTTTCGTAAAACTGAACGTTTTACATCAATTCTATAATGACTCCCGGGAGATCAGGCGATGCAACATCGTTAAAGTTGTTACGTAACGCTTTTCATTTTAGGACGTCAGATAATCAGTTTTAATGCTATCATCATCGAACAGTCGCTTGATAATTTAGCCTTACCGATTTAAACTTTTCCTCAGGTGTCACATTCGTTTAAATTAATGTTATACTCTCGTTTCTTTTCTTCCAACTCATAATTTATGATATTAAGCGCGAAATGATCCTCATAAATCTTCTCTCTTAAAATGCGTTAAAATATAAAAAAGTAAAAATCATCGAATAATACATATGAGTAATTCTATATGATAAAATTAAAGCCACAAAGAACATTATTTCTGCAAGTATTATTACATTTGTATTGTTATAAATATCGTATTATAAATTTATGCATACTATATTATTTCTTCTTCTAATTTTTTTTTTTTTTTTTTTAAGAGCAGATTAAATAAACACATTATTAGACTCAAATTATACTATTATAAATGTGATAAAGAAATTAATATAAAACTTAATTATACTTAATACGAACACAATCAATACAAAAAACACATTCCTTTTCTTTCGTTTTCTCAGTTTAATATTCTCAGTATATTGCAAATATTAAATTCTGTTCTTTCATGTCGAGTATACAAAACTATACATTTCTCTGTCGTGCAATTTAAGAGATAAAAATCTCGAACTGGTGGTTGATTTCACTTAACGTAATAACCATTTTCACATACACGAAAAGGCTACGTTGCCACTTTGCAATTTAATTTTAGACATCCCTCTATTATCGGTTTCTCACATTACCGTTGACGCATGAATTACCGATTCTCGTCAGGTTTTACATAATAAACCACTAACGCTATTCCTCTCCCTTTCCCTCTCCCCCCCCCTTCCCCCTTTCTCCCCTTTCTCGCCTCCCGCCTTTTGTCCTCCACGATCAACCGTGCGCTGAAACCAACAATTGCTTCAGGACCATGCAAATGACCGTCAATAAATTCACCTTACGAAATACGTTGTCGCGGCGATTTGTCCTTTTAACGGCAATTGCGACGTATCCATCCACTCGTTTTAGAGGTAAACGTATGGTGCGTATTGGTGTACGCGTGTCCGTCACACGTGTCCGCAACATCGCGTCGCGTGCATCACACGCACGTTCCTCGATCGCCCATCAAGGGTCTGTAATGGTCCGACCGCAGTTTCACCTACTATTGCGACATGTATTTCCTTCGCTGTTTCACTTTTCTTGCTGCCACGCGTTCTGATTTATCCTTCTCTGCTTCTTCTTGGCGAACGGCACGAAATAGCGAGCGTTTTTCTTCCCACCGCGCTTTCTTTAATCATTAATTCTTAATGCACAATTTCGATAAATGAACGTTACATACACACACACATATATATATATATATATATATATATATATATATATACTATATATAT